CGCCGCCGCCGCTGGAGGGAGCCGGCGCGGACGTCGACGGCGAGGGAGAGCCGGAGCCCTGCTGAGCGGCCGGGGCCGGCGCGCTGGCGCCGCCGCTGGCGACCATGACGATGAGCTTCTCGTTGGCGCGGCAGTTGGCCTCGACGCCGCTGGTGAAGAAGAAGGCGCCGGAGCGGTCCAGCGTGAAGGACGTGCTGCCGTCGTCGAACTGCTTGTCGTAGGAGGAGGTGTTGCAGGTGTTGTAGTCGGCCGGCTCCACCAGCAGCACCGAGTCCTTGTCCTTGGGGTACACGAACACTGCAGGTCGTTAAGGGCAAGAACAACGCAAAGGGTCAGGACGGAGCTGAGAGCCTGAGACTCTCAGAGTGAGACGATGCGCAGTGTGTAATGCAAATGTGTGTGGTGTGGGTGACTCACAGAGGCTGTCGCCGATCTGGAAGCTGGTCTTCTCCGCCCAGGAGTTGAAGGACTCGGCGGCGGCGTCCGGCACGGCCCATCCATTGTCGCCGCCGACCTTGTACTGCGTGGCACCGGCGGCCGCCACCAGGAGCACGAAGCAGGCCAGCCCCAGCAGACCACAAGATGAGCTCGCCATGGCTACAGCGGCAAACCACAAATGAAGATTGTGCTGTACTGCTGTCAGCTGTCCCTATGCCTGCAACAAGGTTGCCGCCACAACGGATATGTGATGTCAAGTCTTGGGGCAAGAGCAAGAACGCAACGGATATTTGTAGGCAAACGGCGCGTAATCCCCCCTATCTGCAACTGCGCCTGCCGTCCTGCTGCCCCAAGATCGAGGCTTTGCAGGCTGTGGGGTACCTTGCTTTGGGTGGTCGGTCAGGTCGCCACCTCGATGCTCTGCAGGGTGCAGAGCACGTGCTGTGGCTTCACCTTTTGCTGCGTGCGTGCGTGTGTCGTCGTGTGCTAACCCATGGAGCATTGGCGTTGGCGTTGGCGTTGGCGTTGGCGTTGGCGTTGGGACGAGGAATTGATGCTTCGCTCCCATCCATCCCCACAAACGGCCATGGAATGGAAAAGGTGATGGCTTGTTTCGTTTCGTCTGCCTGTTTGTGATTCAGAGTTCAGTAGCTGATGGATCGATGGTCAATGGGCAATGCCGTTTTGGTTAGGAGGAAGCCTGTACCTTGGTCCCTGAGTTGCTACTGCTGCTCAACATGCAACAATGCAACTGCTGCTAGGCCTGGTTTAGATTGCAAATTTTTGCAACATGGACATTGTAGCACGTTTCGTTTGTATTTGACAAATTTTGTCCGATCATGGACTAACTAGGCTCAAAAGATCCATCTCATGATTTACAACCAAACTGTGTAATTAGTTATTTTTTTTACCTATATTTAATGCTCCATGCATATGTCCAAAAATTGATATGATGGAGAGATAGTGAAAAAACTTAGAATTTAGAGGTGATCTAAACAAGGCCCTAGTCTTTTATGGGGTTCGATGTGACAAGCAGACAGGGGCAGGTAGAAAAGAAAGAAAAATACAACCTTTATAGGATTCTGCAACTTCACGGGGCCACCCAGAAAAGCTACAAATCACAATGGGCCCCTAGATTTTCTATCAAATATATGGGCTGTAACTGTGACGGCCCGTTATTAAACTCGGGCTGGCCCAAATTTTAAGGCTCAGAAGACCAAAATAGGAGGCTGCTCTGCTCCCGGTCCCGGGCCCCGGAGTCTATGAGCCCAAGACACCGGATGGATTCTCTTCTAGTTAGTTCCGTACAGTTGAGTCCGCTAGCAGATGAGCCTGATTTATACTTGGTCACGCAGCCCGAGGCACGACGGCACGGCACGGAGCCTGCTTTTTTAGCCTGACACGAGCACGGCCCGGCACAGAGACTAGTGGGCCCGGGCTGGCCCGGCCCGAGGGAGCAGGCCGTGCCTGGGCCGGCACGGCACGGCCCGCTACAGAGCAGCCGGCCCGCTAGCGGCCCGGCCTACAACCACGGCCTCACCGCGCCCCCTCCCCTCCCCAAGGCCCACGCCGTCCCTGGCCCGCTACCCCCCCTCATATATAAGCGGCCACCGACGCTGCTCCCTCACGCCCCCGTCACCCCGAACCCTAGCACTGGCGCCACTCCCTCTCCGCCTCTCCCTCACGGCCTCACGCACTCACGCCTCACCCCGAACCCCGCCGCTCCCTCCTCTCCCTCACGCCTCACCTAGCGCCGGCCCCGAGCTCCGCCCTGACGCAGATCCGGTGCCTCGAGATCCGTCGTCCTCCTCACCGCGCTGCAGGCTGTCCTCCACACTCTTCCTCCCCTCTCCCTCAGATCCGGCGAGCCAGCGACGGTGGCGCCCTCCCCCACCCTCTCCCTCAGATCCCGCGAGCCCAAGGCGGCCCAGGCGGTGGCATCTGCTGCGGGCGCGCTCACCGGTGGCGGATCTAGGATTCTAGGGTTCAAGCGCGCGCAACCGTCTTCCTCCCGCGGCCGGATGTGCCTCTGGGGCGAGCGCGCTGCCGGCGGCGGCCGCCTCCCGTGGCGCCCTGCCTCCTGCTCTCCCCTTCCCTCTCTCGTGGGCCTCGGGGATGGCACGGCCTGTGAAAATGGCCGTGCCTCGCGGGCCGGCCCGGCACGGAAATCGGCCCATAGTGCCGTGCCTGGGCCGGAGGCAAGACACGAGGCCCGCAGTGGCACGGCACGGGAGGCACGGCGTGCCGTGTTGGCCCGACATCCTCCGGGCCGTGCCAAGCCGGGCCAGCCCGATGGCCAAGTATAGCCTGATTGCAAGTGACTCGCTCAACTATGGACGAATTTGGTTCGCAAGACAAATGGCACGTCGCTCTGCTCCCTTGTCGCTTGCTCGTCCGCCAGCACATTCAATCCGCTACAACATTTTTACTCTCCAAACTGAAAACAAAAATGTTTCATGGGAAGAAGGATTAAGTAAAAGATGCTCCATTAAATGAACAAAGCTAAATGTTAGAAAACATTTGGTCCACGAACAAGACATATATGTTCCACCAAAAGACAAAAAAAAAAAAGATGTTTGAGGAATACGACAACATTGTAATAATGAGATGTATATATCAAAGTCCCCTGCTCGTGTTCCTCTCCTGACAATGGTGCGTTAATTTGTTTGTCCTTCAGCGATCTAGTGTATAATTTCTTAGCAAAGGTACAAAGCCACCCATATCACAAGGTGCTCCGGTAGTTAATAAGCTCCGATATATAAATAGATAGTTAAATACATTAGTCCATACTAAATTTGGCTCCACCTGAAATAAAATATGTAGTCTCCCAACTTTCTCTAAACATGAACCCTGTAAACTATCGTATCAGCCATGCTTATCAGTCATGATACAGTGTTTTTCTCTCATAACAAAACAGCATCAGCCGACTTATAAGCCACAGAAACAATCGATCGAACATGGTGATGGATGGTGGATGGAGGAATGAGTATTCGGCCTTGTTTAAATCTAGGGTGTAAAGTTTTAGGGTGTTACATCGGGTGTCGCATAGGGTGTTCGGATACTAATAAAAAAATAAATTATAGAATCCGTCAGTAATCCGCGAAACGAATTTATTAAGCATAATTAATCAATCATTAGCACATGTGTTACTGTAGCACCACATTGTCAAATCATAGACTAATTAGTCGTAAACTGTGCCATTAATTAATTTTTTAGTCTATATTTAATACTCCATGCTGTGTCCAAACATTCGATGTGATAGGGAGCAAACTTTAGGGGAGAAATTAAACAAGGCCTGGGTAGAGGTTAATACTATAGTATTTATTTACTTTTTACACTCTGGTACTAAGAAGTCAGAGCACCTGATGTGCAATCATGGGCGGGCCTAGTATGATTCAAGGTATTCAACTGAATACCCTTGATTTTTATAAAAAATTATACATACACGCATGCGTATTAGAAAAGGCAAAAATAGAGCTATAGTAGGATATTCATGAATCGAGCTCAAAACCAGACTCCTCGTACTCTTCCTTCCATTTATGTTGGCCCAACAAGGCCCGTGGCCCCATTTCCTTCGATTCCCAATCGCTCATCATGTGACTCCCGTCCGCTCAGCACGTGGTAGCACAGTACCTAGAATAGCGAGCATTCATTTAACAGTGGGATGAGATACCTTTTTTATTGTTAAAAAAATAACGGATCCTTCTAGGTAAACTCAATATATAGATACCTTATCAACACAACGTTGTATATGTCCCAAGAAATTTGGCGGTTCAAGATACCGCTAAAAATCAAAAAAATTATGGGGTTCCTGAAGAGGAGGGGGGATTTACTCTTACAAAAGATAGTTTAGCAAGAAGTAATTGGAATGGAAATAGTGTGTGCTTTCTGTTGTACGAATGAAACTATCCAACATCTCTTTTGATTGCATATACGCCAAATTTCTTTGGAGAGTTTACTTTGTTCTAGGGCTGAAGCCTCCTATAGATGTACACAACCTTTTAAATGGATGGTACAAATATGGTAGAAGTTCAATTAAGTCCTTAGTGTTGATAGGAGGGGTAGTCATTTGTTGGACAATATGGCTTAAAAAGACAGGTGTGGATGTAAAACTTTTTGCATGTACTGTTTAGAAAACACATTGGTTGAGCCGGTGGGTGCAATTACAACAATGTGAAAATAACAAGGAACACGTCTTCCAAGTTTATCGATCACTAGAGACAGTCGTGATGAACTTCGTTGCCTACTTTGGATGGCCAAACAATTTTGAAATTGAGTTTTGAGTTCGACAGTCGTGTTTTTAAAAAAAAATTGTAATAATTGGTCTGAATCTCTTGGTTTCGAGAGAGATGAAGCTGGATTTGTTTCTTTCGTCTGAAAAAACTATCCAAATTCTAGGCATAATGAATCATTGATTTCTTATTCATCCGGCGGAAAACGAATGCAATATTTAGCAACGACATGCGCAAATCACATGTCTTAATTAGTAAATTACATGTAAGCACATATTTACTGGGGTCTCCCGTTCGTTGTATCGTGTCTCCTTCACTTCACTTCAGACTTCAGAGAGCAAGCATGGCGTAGCCAAGGATGCAGGCCCCGAAGGAGCTGGCCAAGCCTGTGGCCACCGTGAGGGCGGCGCCGTTCTTGTCCTTGGAGGCGCCGGCGGGAGGCGACGATGGCGTGCCCGTCGAGTTAGCCGTCGCCCCATGTGCGCTCGGAGTCGGAGAGCTCGCCGAGGGCGCCGGCGGGGTTGACGACGACGCCGGAGGAGGTGACGACGCGCTCGGAGCAGGGGGAGACGACGATGCAGGCGGAGGCGTGCTCGGTGTCGTCGTGGGGGCAGAGGCCGGAGGCGGAGCGGAGCCGGCGGGCGGCGCCGGGGCCGGTGGGGGTGGCGACGCGGTGGTCGGGGCCTTAGGCGGAGCGGGCGACGAGGACGGGGGCGGGGTGGATCTGGCAGGAGGGGGTGATGCCGGTGACGCCGGCGGCGGCGCCGTGCTCGGAGCCGTCGCGCCGCTGCCGGTGCCGTTGCTGCGGGTCGCGACGACCATGACGATGAGCTTCTCGTTGGCGCGGCAGTTGGCCTCGACGCCGCTGATGAAGAAGAGCGGGCCGGAGCGGTCGAGCGTGACCACGGTGTCGCCGTCGTCGAACTTCTTCACGTACGACGACGTGTTGCAGGCGTTGTAGTCCGCCGGCTCCACCAGCAGCACCGAGTCCTGGTCCTTGGGGTACACGAACACTACGGGCACAAGCAAAAAACGTCAATGGCGTCGTGCACGGCGTATGCATTGGACGTGCAACCAATCTCAATTACCTAGGGAGTCACCGATCTGGTACCTCGTTCTCACCGCCCAAGTGTTGAAGGGCTCCGCGCCGGCGGTGGGCACGCTCCAGCCATTGGCGCCGCCGACCGTGAACTGCGTTCCGCCGGCGACTGCAGCGGCAATGGCGAAACAAGCAAGAGCAAGACCGTAGCTACTTGACTTCGACATAGGTGAGAAGAGAAGCTACACTACGCAGGTAGCTAATTTTAGGCTTTTGCAACTGATCTTGTGCTGGCTGGAGGTTCAAGAACCATGGGCTTGCATTGCTGCGTATTTGTAGGTGTCAATGGCTGGGGCTTTACAAGCTGTAGGGTTCCTTGCTTTCCATGGCCACATTGAGCTGTGTTTCCAAAGCATATGGCACCTCGCTCGCCTTTCCATCTTGTCTAGCTCGGCTGTCTTCTCTCTGCTCTGCCTGCCTCCTGGTCCTGGATCCATAGCTTGGCCGAGGCATTGCCAATTGCAAGCCGCTGGAATATGCATCGCATGTGCACTGGTCCATGCATGGTTCATGGACAATTATATTGTCACTCTCCAAACAATTCATGGTTTGTTAATGCCGCGCCGTCAGCACACGTGGCACGTTGTGATACGCTGTGGTCAGATAACAATGTGCTAATAATGGCCTAGTTAAGTGGAGAGACCTGATTTTTTTTAATGATAACTACCGAAGGTTAAAAAAAAGGGTAAAGTATAATTTACACCCTCCAACTATCGCCAAAGTAAAGATTTTAACCTCGAACTTTAAAACCGGATAACTTTGGCTCTCCAACTCTTGAAAAAGTTCAAATTTCAACCTTCTGGGCGGTTTTGCGTATGAACAGTACTTTTGATATTTGTAGGAGGCACCGAAATTTTATATTATTTTTTTAACCATCTTAACGTCCTCAAATGAAAAAACTCAAAACTACAAAGTTGTAGATCTCATTGAGAGCTACAGCTTTGGTATAAAAAGTATTTTCATTTGACTTCATACAAATAATATATTAGTGCTCTAATATGTAGCGCTAGTTAATTTTTATTATTGTAGACTTCTGCAATTTTATATTGTAGTTTTGAGTTTTTCTATTTGAGGACAGAAGATGCTCTAAAAAAATAATATAAAATTTCAACAACTCATAATAATCGCCAACTAGCGCTTGCCGCATTAGAGCACTAATATATTATTTGTATGAAGTTAAATGAAAATACTTTTTATACCAAAGTTGTATCTCTCAATGAGATCTACAGCTTTGTAGTTTTGAGTTTTTTTCATTTGAGGACGTTAAGATGCTTAAAAAATAATATAAAATTTCGACGCCTCCTAAAAATATCAAAAGTACTGTTCATACGCAAAACCGTCCAGAAGGTTTGAAATTTGAACTTTTTCGAGAGTTGGAGGGCCAAAGTTATCCGGTTTTGAAGTTCGAAGTTGAAATCTATACTTGGGGGATAGTTGGAGGGTGTAAATTATACTTTACCCTAAAAAAAAAGTTGTTTCAGAAAGTTTCACCTTTTTTGTCCATGCAAGGCTTCTCTGTCATTCTGTGTGATCTCTGCACTGCAGGCTGTATGGCATGGAATAGGGTTCTTGACCTTTGTGCTGAAGTTATGCTTCCCCCACTTGAAGGGAAAACAGAAGTGCAGCTGCAGGCTGCAGCATCACAATTCACAAAGAACTAAAGAAGCATTTTTCTGATGAGTTTTGTTGCCAACTCTTCAGCTAGCTAGTGCAGCCATTTTTTCCCCTCACAACATGCACTTAAACAAAGCGCTTAAGACATGATGCAATGCAACACGGCATCATGTTTGTCGATGGCACGTCTGTCATGGCGTGGAAACACCGCTTTGTAGGGTCTGTCCAGCCTCTCATACATCAGTCCTTATGCTCATGGCGTAATCGATGGCGGTACTCAGAACTTAGCCATGCCGACTAGTCCCTGACAGTTGTATACTTGTAACAACAAGCTGTCTGTGCGTGGCTGTAAACGCGCTTGAAAAAAAAATGTGAAGCTTTACAGGGTCGTCACAATCTGGTCAGCCAGAGATTCTGTACTAGTACGAGTCTACGGCTAATAAGAAACTTAAAAATCATAGATAAGACAAGCGCATGTTCAGCATTAACTTGAGTCAATTTTCCTTTCCATTTCCAACTACACCTCACTGCAAAGATTCTGAGGAAAAAAAAAACAAAGAATCAAACAATTCCAAACCAAGCTGTCTCCCTAAACCGAAAGCATTTACATTTACAGTTACAGGCATGGCGATGGATCTGCATTCACACATGGTTGTTTCTGTCCTGCCGCGCGCCCATCAGGCCGTCAGGCGACTCGGAACCCTCTCTGGGACTCGCTGAAGGCATCGTACGCCGTCGCAAATGAGGCTCTGGACCTCGAGGAAGATGACCTTGCGGACGAAGCAGGCGACGACGCCCTGTTCTTCTTCCTCCTCGCCTTCCTCGGCCCCCTCGGCATGCCTGCGTTCTCTTGCCCGGGCCTGTTGTCCTGGAACATCTCAATGGGCAGCATGCTTCTTGCTTGCTCAAAGTCTGCAACGAGTTAAGAGTTACTACTAAATTCAGCTCAGAAAATCGAAAGTAAACTTCTTCTTTTTTTTCCTTTAGAGGAATGGAAATAAAACATTAGTAGTATCAGCAGAGGATCTGTGAAATTCTAAGTGATTTTTGTTCATTGATTACAACTTGCATACATGCATGCGACCAAGAGGTCGTCCTTGGTGTAGAGTAGACGTGTAGTGCCTAGTGGTGTGCCACTAATGTCATTATGAAATAGGACAAGAAGATTCAGGCGCCTAATCATAAGCACAAATGATTACTCGTGCTGCCTGTATGATTATGAGGCACAGATTTGTTTAAGGGCATGGCTGGAATGTGTCGTATGCAACATCAACTTTATTTATCTTTCTCAAAGTATTGACTGATTATGCCATTTAATTAGTCTGTTTTTTTTTGGGGTGGGGGGGTCTTGACTGAATATTTATGAAGGGCAAACAATGTCAGAGGTGAGAATCACCTGCAGAGGCCCAAGAAGTCTGCCTTGACTGTGCAGCTGTGCTCACAGAGCCTGATGATAAATCATCTGTTCCCTTGAATTCAGCCATCTAAAAGTAAAAAAAAAAAGTACATCACCATCAGTTAAAGAACTATATGAATAATGTAAACTCATGACAACAAATAAAGCATGATGCTGCATATTGTTATGATATTCTTACCCAACTTGGAGATGTGTCACTGGTGCCCAGACCTATGTGAGCCACATGCTTCACATCTGTAGGGTACCCAATCTCCATCTCATGTTCCTTATGCACTGCAAAAGAGCAGATGTCTAGTTAGGTACTTGTGCTTTCACCATATGCTTTTAAGTTGGTACTGCTTTTTCATGCATTTACTATTGAAATTTTTAGAATCTGGATGTAGAAACCAATCCACAGAAACTAAAGTCAATTAATGCAAAAATGGAGAAATAAAATAAAAAATATAGAAGGATGGATGGGATTATTACGAAACATTTGAGAAATTATCTTCAGCCCTTTGAAGATCCCCTTCATCTTTATCGCCATTGGTGAAACCCTTTGACAGAAGAGAAAGAGCTCCTGCAACAATGTAGAATAAGATCAAATGTTCTTGTAGTACGAAGAAAAGATTTTAGCTTTCATGCTACAAAAGATACACTAAAACATGGCAAGGAAAAAAGATGCAACAAGGATACAATTTGCATGAATGACAAGGATACACATATTTCCTGAATGTTCATACTGAAGAAAAGATTGGCAGAGGCCTACACATACAGTAGAATGGATCGCAAACAGGAAAAACAAAGCACAGCCGCCATCTTACCTCTGGAATTATTCTATCAGTTGTACAACTCCGATAGCAGCTTTCGCTTCTGAACCGTTAGACCAAAGTTCACTCTGAAGATGAAGAGCAAAGCAGAAGCAGATGAGAACAAGCAGTTTGGTTTAGAGGGGTAGGAAGCAGAGGGAGGTAAATCTTCCAAGAAGGTAGCAAAGAACCTCCTTAAATATGGTGACAAGTTAGTTGGGAACAACTCTTGTTGTTGCTCACTTGCTCTTCTTTCTATTTTATTCTATAAGTGCAACCAGGCTTTTCTGAAAAATAGACAATACTTTGTTCTGTCCTAGCTTGCAAGCTAGCTGTACTTGGATTTCGTTTATGTGGTGATCATTTCTTTAGATGTCAATAGGAACTCATTGGCACTATCATATACTCAGTTAGTAGTTGAACCTTTTATTTTGCTATATAGTTTTCTGGAGAGACTGGGGACGACTTATTTTTCCTGAAGAAAGCTGGATTGTTCCCTCTGAAATTTTAACTATCAACCGTCAAGTTCTTTCCACATTTTTCTGATTCGCCATACAAAGGAAACTAACATCAACGGCTCAATTACACAAAGCCTTAAAGGTTCCAGGGCCAATGTCTGCTCAAATCTGTTATTGAATCTCACATTTGCCTCATGGTCCTTGCACTTCCAAGTTCCAACCAACATTGCATACTACTGTTTCATTGCTGGTAGCAGCAAAACCTAGACTCAGGACCAGTAAGCTTAGTTGAACTCATCTCAGAATATCGCGAAACTTATTCTTTTGTTCCTGATGAATAATAGATGTGCATAAAGCTTACATGTAACATGAGCAGATGGAATTCATGAAGATCTGGGAGAGTAGAACAGCATCAAGTAGACACTACAGTTATGAGATTTGATTCTATCTTGGAAGTCACACGTCTGACCTACCTATTTGATGAATGGTGATCTGTCCCATTCCATCAGATCAACAAAGCTTTATATCATGAACAGTTCTATGTATTCCCTTGGGTTAGTTTATATATGTGAAATTTTCCAAGCTGATAGGCACAACATCAGCAGCCAATCCCTAGAGGTTGCTTGCCTTATCCTCTTATATTAAAAGTTCTAATTGGTTGCAGAAATGCGTATGTTGCGATGGATTTACGGTCACACAAGAATGGACCGAGTTCGGAACGATGATATACGTGATCGCCTAGAGGTAGCACCAATTGAAGAAAAGCTTGTCCAACATCGGTTGAGGTGGTTTGGCCATGTCCAAAGGAGACCTCCAGAGACACCAGTGCACTGTGGAGTCCTAAGCCAAGCTAATAATATGAGGAGAGGTAGAGGAAGACCGAAATTGATATGGGGGGAGGCAATAAAAAGAGATTTGAAAGCTTGGGATATACCTAGAGATCTATGTTTGAATATGAGTACTTGGAAAACAGCTATTAAAGTGCCTGAACCGTGACTTGGGGCTCTTGGTGGGTTTCAACTCTAGCCTACCCCAATTTTCTTGGGACTGAAAGGCTATGTTGTTGTTGTATTAAAATTTCTAATTAAATAGCTGAAAGTGCC